AAAAAGGGGGAGGGATTTGGAGGAACAAATAGGAAGGACACAGGGACAAGAACTAAGGGGGGTGGAAATGGGAGGGAGGTGGGGAGCAAGGGGCAGGGGAGGCTGGGATGGGAGAAATAGACAAAAAACTGTACTTGAAAAATAACTAAATAAAATTAATTAAAAAATAAAAAAGAAAAAAAAGAAAAGAAAATTAATGACATGAACAAGTTTGCAAAGAGACCATGTTAATGTGTCTTGGATTACTAAGAGTGTTTGAAAATAGAGAACTATTCCCATTGGAGAGAAATAAAAGTAATATATTATTTTAACCCCAGCTCAGGGAGTTTAAATTGGTCCACTTTTAAAGTTTTGTTCCAAAAAAAATGCACAAACTTTGCACAACCTTTTCTGTCTTTGAGTTACACAACATCAATTTATTCAGGGGCAAGCTTTTCTAGCTGACCTTTTGGAGCATTAGAGAATAATAAAGATCTGACCTGCATGTTGACTTTTTCATTTTATTTCTCTCACAAAATAGCTGGAAGACAAGTGTGTCTGCCATCCACTCATTTTGGAGATAACTGTGCTTTGGGCTTCAGTCAGGTTGAAAGGAATTGCCGTTATAGTGGGCACCTGTGAGTGCCAGAAAAATTCAAGGAAGATGTGTGTGTTGTTAAAAAAAATTGATGAATCTGTTTTCCCCTGAAGAGACTTTCAATGACCCTCCAATGATTAAAGTCTAAACCTTTTTTCCCTTGTGTTTTAAAATGATGAAAAATGTCATATATCTTTCTGTATCTATATCTATACCTATATCTATACAAAATGATAGAGAATAGTTTAATGAATGTCCATGTACCCAGCACTCATCTTCCTTAATTATTAACATCGTCAATCTTGTTTATTTCTGTGCACATCTCCTTTCCTTCCCCCAGTCATGCTTTAATTTAACTGTTAAAGCAAAACCAGAATATAAATTTCATCTGTAATATACTCTAGTATATATCTCTAAACAATAAGTGCTCCTTTTAAAAATGAGACCACCATTAAAGTACCAAAAATTTAACAGTAATGCTTTATCATCAAATATAGTTTAAAATTTTTTCATGGCCTAATTTTCCTTTGAAAGAATTATTATTTGAATCAGAATCCTAATAATGTCCACAGTGTATATTTCATAAATAAATCTCAGGTCTTTTTTAGCCTATAAGTACTCTCCTCACTTCTTTTAAAATTTTCTTATAATTCTTTTTCTGTTGTAGAAACTGAGGGTGATTTGTACAGCCTGGATTTTCCAATGTTTCACCATTGAGTTTACCTTGACTTGCTTCTCTGCTCCCTCTATTTACATGTTTGTTTGGATCAAATGAAATTATACTTTTGCAGATCACAATGGTTGAGGATGGGAAATTTTATTTGCTTCAACTTAATAATGAGATCTGGAGGTGTGATCAGATTTAGCTTCACATTTCTGACAGATCACTTCATAGAGGTGAAAACTTTGTAGTTCATAACCTCCAGTAGGATTCAATGGCTGATTTCTTTCCTCTTTGTGATGTTAAAATTAATTAGTGGGCTCAGGGGTTATCAGCTTTGCCCAGATATTATAAAGTTGCTCATCAGCTTTTCACCTAATGGCTTCAGAGTCACTGATGATCATTGTTTTGATCTGGTTTCATGAGAGGTTACATAGAGTGTTATTTGTTAATTGTACTTCTTTTAAAAATAGTAACTTTCTATCACCAAGTATTTGGTTACTTTAAGATGTAACTGATACAGGAAGAGTAGGACAGATGCCTAGTTCTCTGCATTTATTTAATAAATTTTAAAATTACATGTTTGTTGATCTAGCATCTCCAATGGTGAGCAATGAGCTGGTTTTTAATTTTTAGAATCATTAAAAAAACACATATGATGAATTTAAATCTCATGAAGATATTTATTGATTTTAATGTTCACACTGTTCTAGCTTTAGTTATTTAGAGTCCTTTGAAGTTGGCTTTTGGGTCCTTTTGATAAAACTCCAGTGGACTTTGATAACTGATTTTTCAAAAATGAAAAATGTGGTAGTGCTTTACTGCCCCGGATCCAGAATCAACAGTTTCTTATAGGTACCAGAGTTTGCTATGGTGGGAAATCCTATAAAGAGATAAGGAAACACATTGGTCCATTGCTACTGGATTCACCATCACCTCTAATTTTTTTTAGTTAACGTAAGTGGGAAATGCATATTTTAAAATAAAATACATCTTAAATTTAATTGATGCCTCCACCTGAAATTTATTATTATAGTGTTTTTACTTAACTTCTCTGCCTCTCTTCTCACATGGTGAAAATTCTACTCCCAGCATCACTGACATTATTGCCCACTGTTTTGTCCTCTGCAAACATACAATGGTTTAGAATAACACCACCAACCTTAACACCAAAAACAAATTAAGATTTCCTTGCAGTTCTTTTTGCTGTTAGGCTATATCCTTCTAGGAATGTACAGTCAAGTCTTTGTCTTTTCAAATCACCTGAAATAATTTTTGTCTGTGCGAAACAATACATGGTTAAGCTCATTTGTTGCATTTTGTTTCCAACTCTTAACAATTATTTTTTGAATAAGTTTATTTTACAGTTTTGTAAAACATTTACATGATTCCGTAATGTAACTGAACAGCAATGGGTCCTGCTGCCCACTGCTACCTTCTAGGCAAAATTCCAGAGGCAAAGGTTTGATGATAAAGGGAAAGAGAGTTTATTCAAAACTACACAATTTTGGAATAACAGCTTTCCGCAGGTGTTAGTCACTTAAGCCTATCAATTAATCTTTAACTCCTGAGTTCCCCTAAGACTCCCAGTGTTAATTTTTAATTATCTTAATTTTATAGGATTAGTTTACAAACTAAAACAACGCAAGAGACAAAAGCTACACAATTCTAGAAGCTCTGCCTCAGAGCTTGTTCCCTCTTGAATACCCAAACAAAAATAACCCTGCCGCCCTCTGCCAGGCCAGTCAGATCCTAGGCTGTGCCCAGAGTTCCTTCCCATCCAAAATACTGTCCTCTGGGAAACGCAGGCAGCTGCAGCACCGTCATCCAGTCATCTCTGAGCAAGAGAGCCCGAGAGCCTATATCTGTCCTTTTCTTTTTATTTTAAATCATCTGGCCCATAATTCCATATACTCTGGAGGTATTCAGCTTCTTAGCTGAAAACAGTTAGCCAATCCTGTCCTAGGCTGTTTACCATTTGCAACCTCCTCCTAGGCCCTCTCCCTTCTCCTCCTCAGTGACCTGATCAGATCTCTTTCTACCAATAACATAACATAACAGTTTTAGTGATGATCTTTTTTCTACTCCAGTGTGTAAATGTACTACAGTTAATTTATCTTCTCTCCTATTGAATAGACGTTTGAGTTGTTTCCATTCTTTGGCTATCAAAAACAATGACATAAGTGAATTAAGTCAGCCAGTGAAGAGCCAAGTATCACATGATCTCACTTATATGAGGAATCAAATGAACTCGATGATCTAATGGACAATATAGAAACAGCATAGACACATGGAGCAGGCTGACAGCTGCTGGAGGGAAGGTGGGGGATTGGAGTGAAAGATGATGAAGGGGTTAACCAAAGAACATTTATGCCTAACCTATGGACAACAGTATGGGGATTGACTTAGGGAAGGGAAAGGGTGGGGTGGGAGAAGGTGGGGAAAGGGAGAAAAAGTGGGAACTGTAATAGCATAACCAATATAAAATAAAAAAATTTAAAAAATGACATAATGAATAGCCTCATGCATATGCCTTTATGGGGGAAAGGGGACTGTTAATGTGTAATTGCATAATAATCTTTGATGTGAGATTGCTGATTCAAATGGTAAAAATATGTAATTTTATTAGGTCCTGCTTAATTCTTTTCTCTAGAAGTTGTGCCATTTGGCATATCAGCAAAGTATGAGACTTCCTCTGAAGGCTTACCAGCAAGAACATATTGCAACATTTTTAAACTTTTGACATTTCGATAGGTGAAAATGTTATCTATAGTTTCCATCTACTGTTCTCTTATTATGTACGATGTTGAACATATTTTCATTTTAATTTTTCTGTGAAATCTATATCCATATCTTTCTTTCATTAATGTCTGTTTTAGAGATACTAATCCTTGCCAGTCATAAATGTTGCAAATGTTTTTCTGTTTGTCATTTGTCTTTTTTAGTTGGCTTATAATTTATTTTTGACAAAGTATTTAACATATTTATTTATTAAGTTTATTAATCTTTGTTTACTACTTCTTATTTCAATTTGTCCTCTTCCAAATTATAGAGAAATTACCCATGCTTTTTCCCCTCATATTTGTATGTTTTCAATTATTACATTTAAAAGTCTTACACACTGGCAATTTTCCTGAGTTGTCGTGTGTGAGACACAGTCCAGTTTAATCTTTTTTCCAAAATGTTATGGCTATCCATTTATTCCAACATCACTTATAGGCATTTTCTCCACTGATTTGCTTATTAAATATTAAACATCCCTATGCAACTTGTCCTATTTTTAGAAATTCAATGCTGTTTTATTGATATGTCTGTCAATACATGTCATAATGCCAGATTGCTAAACTTTTAGAGGGTTTATATTTTACTACATGGGAGGGGTATCCACCCCTTATCTCCTCCAATTTATCTTCTTTTTCAGAGATACCTTAGGTGTTATTCCATATTACCATTTTTAATAATAAATGTTGTAATCAACTCATTTAGCTTCAGAAAAAAATGGTATTTTATAAATTGGGATCACATTGCATTTACAATTTAACCTAGTAAGAATTCAGCTCTTCTTTTTTTGCAGAGTCTTCCTACTCAAAGGCATATGTCTCTTCATTTGCACAAGTCTACTTTTATGTCCTTTAGGAGCCTTTTATAGTTTCAATGTTTTCTTCATTAGATTTGATATTTATTGATAAGTGTTTTGCCTAGGTTACTTACTTATTTATAACACAAATGAGAGGTTTTCTATTCCTTTATTTCTTTTTTTTTTTTAACACAGAATGCTTCACGAATTCGCGTGTCATCCTTGCGCAGGGGCCGTGCTCATCTTCTCTGTATTGTTCCAATTTTAGTGTATGTGCTGCCGAAGCGAGCGCCCAATTCCCTTATTCCTTGTCATTGTGTTGTGTTTGCGAATGCGCAGTAGAGCCTGAATCATACCCCGATATTCTAAGCCTTCCATTTCTCTTTTTTCTATTGTGTTTACTGCAATTTCTTGTGCACCATCTTTATCTCCAGTAAAATGGTCAACAGCTGTCCTTCAGGAGCCCGGTGTTTTCTTAATACCTCAGCATTGCTTAAGTATCCATCCCACCTTGGTTTTCCCCTTTTCCTTCTCTTTCATCTTTAGTTTTGTAAACCCTTCTATACCTTCTATGTTCTTTCTTTCACATATATCTCTGTTAGCATTTACATCACAATTTATACACTGTACAGCTGAGGTTCATTTTCAGTTACTTTTTTAATGGTATACTCTATTACCTAAGGCAAGTCTGTGAAATGCAGAATGAAAGAAACTGTGTTTCACATTTTTATTTTCTTAGTACCCAGTGATTTGTACATACTATGTGCTCCATAAAATATATTCATAGATTTTCATAAAATATTTTAAATTGTTTCAGTTACTGTCATTTTCCTTGGAAAAGCTTGAAATACTCTCATCCTGGTGAGCTAATATGCATAAGAGCCCTTAGGAGCTAAGCTTGAATAGAACTAACCTTCCTTCCTCCCTCTCTTCCTTCCTTCCTCCTTCCCTTAAATGAATAATTTTATTTGCCAATTTTATTTTATTCCATTCAATATTGTTGCTTAATTGTCTTTCTCTACCGATAAAAATAACCAAATTTATTTTATATACATATACATATATCTATAAATCTATATACGTGTTCAGATGTCTTATATTTCAGGAATTTTGTTTTCTGGTCAAATTAACTTTGAGATAACTTAATCTTTTTTTTAATATGTTCCTTAATTTTCTTGGAACAGAATTTTTATTGTACTGCCAGGAGATAGCTTATTAGAAGATTAAAGAATCTGCCACACAGGAAACCAGGTCTGAGCCAGGGCTTGAGGTTTGTTTTTCTCCAAGTTCAGAGCTTTTCCCCCTGAGTTCTTTGACCTCCTTCTGAAAAAATGGCTGAGTCAGAAGTTGTCCTAAATAGTCCTCAAGGCCCTGCTCTCCAACGTGGAGAATAAGTTAGTGGGAGTTGAGAAAGAAGAGTTTAGAGTCATTGTGATTTCAATGGGTCTGTAATACAGGTCTTGAACTTTATGGCCAGTTTAAACACATACAATAATATTTTCTCCCTGACTATTGTTGATATTGAAACAAGGATGACAAAACTGCCTGCTTATCAATAAACTACAGCCCTAAGCTTTTTAAAAGGTGCTTGATCAATAACTGGAATACTAGTAGTCCCACTTGACTAAGCCATCTATTTCAAAGCCACAAACAAAAAGACCAAAGAAAAGAGGCACACTCACTGGAAGAGGTTAAGGAGAACATGTGACCACTAGTTGACCTGTGTGCTGGGCCTGGAATTCAGAGGTTCCTCGCCCGCTCCTTATCCTTGGAATATATGCTCCACCCCCCATTTCCTCATCCCCATTCCTGGAACCCAGGGGAAGCTGGTTTCAAGGATGCAACCTTGAGAGAGCAATGTGTTGTTGAGACCATCTGGACTGAGTGTGTGACTGGACCCCATCAGGACCTCTACAAAAATTTTGAGATTCTGGCGAGTAGTGCAGAGACTCACTTGTTTTGTGGCTGCCACAGAAAAGTCTCATGAAGGGAAGGCCTCCTGTCTCCATAAATAGACACAGTGACTTAAACCCAGAGGAACTTAATTTCTATTTTTTCATTACTATTTATTGGGTATGTAACAATCTCACTGACTTCTTAAATTATTCAGTCCTGCTGGGAGGGACTGTGAGAGAATTTTTACAGAGAATTTTGTTATCTGGAGATGAAACGTGCTATGTAAAACCGCTATCAAGTTGTCATTAATCATAACCAGGACTTAAGTCAGCTGTCAGTACTGTGAGGAGCAGCAAGACCACAGGGAGAAAGGACAATTCCTTCCAGGGCTTTAAAATGCACATAATTTACTGACACTAACCCTGCACCGACCAAAGAGTGGAAAATCAAGGTAATGATTGCAATGGGCTCGCTGGATGTCTGTGGGCTACATATTAGAGAAAAAAAACTTCCTTAAGGAAAGAGTAATATGAAACAATCTGAATAACTGGAGACATTTGTGATAGTGGAGCAGAAGAGCCCTTCTTGTTTGCATCTGACCTGGAGAAGCTGAAGGACATTCACAGGCACCCATAAGTGACAGAAGAAAACAGTTCCTGCAGAGTCTCTGGGGGAGCTCATTGTATCTCGACTGGGCTCACTCAGATACAAATTCTGACCTTTTTCTTTAAAGATTTGTGTGCCTGGGGCATCATATGTGCTCAGTCACTGTTACTGATTATTATTTTACCCTGGAAAGGGAAAGATGCTGTTGACATCGGTCACCACAGCCTTAAGGATGAAAGCACTTAGCATGCTTCCACAAAAGGGGCGAAGCACAAAACAGTGTGTGAATCTGTCTTCACCTGAGCTGATGAGAAATATCTCTGATTCTATTTTTAACCCCAGAAAAGTACTTGGAGGCTTTTGGAACTCATCCAGTTGTATCCCTGGAAATAGACTTGCTTCTCGTATAGACTTTGATTTTTAACTGTTGCCTCCAGACAAAAAGTCATTACACAGCTGTGGTAGAACATTCATTACCTGGACCTTTTTATATATCCCACAGGAGCAAAGGTTTTCTGTGTCAACCCAGATGATTAAACGAACACAGCAGAGGCTGGAAACTCTTCTCCAGACTGTGGCTGTGCACGCACATTATATTTTCACAGGATGTACTATTCTGTGACTACCCTGACTTCCTCCTTTCCCACCAGCTGGCATGCTTTTTGGTTAGGCAGCTGAATTTCAGCAGCTCCCATTTCCTTCTTCCTGGAAGGCTGTAAACCTCCTAAGCCATTTCATCTTTCTGTTATGTGGGATTGGCCACCAGCTACAACAGAACTCTTCTGATCTGTGTAGTGGGATAAGCAAGGGAGAATGCAGCACCTGCATGGTATCTTACTCCTTCCCATCATGCTAAACTTCTTCTGTATTCCCAGATGAAACTTCACTATTTTAGGGCACTTCTGGAGGCAGCTTTGCCTGCAGAGTAAATACAGAGGACACTAACAGCAGGTGTTTGTTGAAAGTTTAGTTGGTGTCAGTGCTGTGGCAGGTGTTCAATGTACACGATCTCATTTGAAACGCAAACCAACCCTGAAGCTCACAGAGATTAAGTAACTTTCTCAGCATCACAAAGCCAGGATGGTTCCAGGAGTCACACCTAGGCTTGTACATCCTGTATTTTTCATCATCATGCTATATGCAATTAGTAATGCCAGTAATAACATCACCAGGAATCTTCAGGCTATGAAGTCCATCACATTTCTGTCTTTGTGTTAGGTAGCATTATGAAATTAAACCATTCCCAAGATTAGAAAACCAATAAACAAATGGTTAAGAACACAGATTACTAAGATGCTGCTTTTGCCATTTAACAATTTTGTTTTACTACATTATTTAGCCACCTATGGTACCAGGTTTGATATTCCCCTTGCTGAGGATATAATTTCTGGAGGGTGTTTTTCGCAATAGAGCTGAACTCGATGCCATTAAGCAGCAATTGCCATTAGCTCATGCTTCTGCAGCATCATATATAATAGGGCTTTACAGGGCTTTTTATAACAATATGAAATGGGGCTTTGGCCTTAGTTTAATTGAAGAAAAGAAAGTGTGTGCATTTAAAAAATATTCTCACCTCCAGTGATCAGACGATGCTGGCTTCACAAAGACATTGAAGCTGCAAACAAGACACACTTGCAGGACAAGAAGCTTGGGTTGGAGAGGAGTTCTATACTGTTATGTATTTGAAGGTACCCCACAGTGCGTACAGAATACTGAACAGTAAGTTTCATGCTTTCCTATCTAAGCAACAAATTGGCATCAAATATAAAACATAAGCCTAGAAAATGAATAGGAATCTAGTGAACAAGTTATTTAATGGACATATGTGTAATTTGGTTGGGAGCAAGGATGGTCCCCCTGATCTTAGTGTCAATTTCGTGGTCTGTGATGATCTAATGTTCTGCTGAAATGTCCACAAATTCACAGATGTGGAGGGCACATTTTCCCGTGGTTGGGGAATTCAGTCTTCTTCAAAGCTTAGTAGTGAGTTGGAAGCTATTTTCAAAGAAAGATTGCTTACTTGTTGGAGGATATATAGTTATTTTCCAAAACTGAAGGGGTCTCTGCTTCAATAAGTGTGCTAAATTATAAGGATATATTAACATATGTTCCTATAATTCCAAGCTATCAGCACAGAAGTGACAACTAGCTTGAACATTTTCTATTGCATTGGGCCCTGTCTAGAGCTGTCAACTTTTTAAATTATTACATAAAAGGATCCAAATAGAATATCCATATGGTATCCACTAAACACCACACCTTTTCTTAAACAACTTGCTGCTCTATGTTTCATCAATGTCTTGTCTTTCACGGAGTAAATCAGCCTGATTTCTTACAAGATTGTGAGAGGTTCTTGAGAACTAAGTTGTGGCACAGAATTGGGGAATAGACAACCTAAAGCGGTTGCTCCTACAACTCCACAGATATACTCTTGTCCCTGTCAAGTGAAAGTAGACTCATTTCAGTGTTCTTTGTTTACAGAAATGGAAAAAAAATACATTTACCCTATCAGTAACTGCAAACTAGTGCAGATAACTTCAGTAAGGAAAACAGCCTGTCAGGCTGCTGCAAAAGGCATTGTCGCTACTTTTCTATTATTAGTGTTTTGCCCTGGTCAAACTAGAGTTCTATGGGTATTTGCTAGGAATCATCACATGTATGTCTTTCAAGTACTTTATGTTGGCATCTCTATGGTACCTGAGAGATAAACTTTTTTTTAATTTATATTTTGGTATGGATAAAGGGCAATGCCAATGTTTTTACTTGGTCCTTCAAATCATGGTAGTACTT